AGTGGGTAGCAACACCATATCCCAAACAAGTCCAATTTCAACTTTTTTTCTTCCAGGGAAGAAAATGAAATGTTATCGACAACCTACACCAAAACCAGGCACTAAACTGGCTCCTTTCACATACACTACTCAATTAAATCTTATAACAACTTAATGAGGTAGGTATTATTTGCATATCTAAGCAGATGGGAAAATTGTGCCCCGGGGAAGCAATATAATTTGCCCGAGGTCACATACTTAAGTAAGGCACATCCAGGTCCGTTCAACTCAACAGTTCACTATTACATCGTGCCATCTTCCTCATAGGGGTCAACGGCCCCCTTTCCTATAAAGTTAACACACTCTTAAAGAAACAGAAGCATTTCAAGGACTAGGCTGAGGATAATCCCCCTAGAGAGTGGCAGAGGATAGGAGCAAAACTTTGCCATTTTAGTCATTAAATATAATTTTTGTGGAACTAAGGGGCTCTCTTTTAAGCCCTTACAATACTCCTTTTTAATGTAGTAAAAAACACCTAAGTTTAAATGTACCATCTAACCATTTCTGTGTGTACAGTTCAGTACATTCACACTGTTGTGCAACAGAGCTCTAGAACTTTTTCATCTTGCAAAACTGAAACTCTGTAGCTATTAAATGTTAATTCCCTCTTCCCTCTCCCTGCAGCCCCTGGCAACCACTTTTCTACTTTCTGTTTCTATGATCTGGACGACATTAGACACTTTGTATGAATGGAATGATACAGTATTTGTCCTTTTGTGACCAGCTTATTTCACTTATCATAATGTCCTTGAGGTTCACCTATGTTGTAGCAGGTGACAGGATTAAATCCTTACACACTCTTCTTGATATCTTTTCTTCTAATTGCCTGTGCCGTCAAATTGAAATCTTTGCTATATGCCCCTCGACACTACTCTGTAACTGTTTCATGTGTATATACCTCCTTTTCTCTGCTAGATCGTCACCTCTGAGTGATCAAAAACTAGGTCTTCCAAATCTTTTAGGCCATACCCAGCACCCAGGACTATGCTGAGAACATGACAGATAGACCACGGACCATAAGCTCTGTGAGATCAGGCACAGTCCTGTCTTATTCATCATGACTCCCCAGTGCCTAACCAAATGCCTGACACATGGAAAATGAATAGGATGCATTTTTGTTTTTCTAAAACAACAAACTGAGGATTAAAAATGAAAAGATGGGAAGTCAGAGACCTGACTGTCCAGCAACATTTGTAAGAAATAATCTAAAGGAAGGGAGAAAAGTATTAGCTAAATTAGAATCAAAATCTCTGAAAAACTTGTTCCTATAAATTATGTAAAGTAGGGTATCAAACTCATCATAATTTAGTTCTGGAGAGTGAGAGGGCAGAGAGAGAGAGTGACGTGAAATATACTCCAACTTCTAAGATTTGGCGCTTCACTGTACCCCATTCCCGCATGCTGTTCTCTAGAGTGGGGGCCAGCCAGGCCGAGCACCCCAAGCCCATGATGTCTTGCCCTGTCGCAAAAAGGAGTAACAAACTCACGGCTTTGCTTTCAAGCTCCCCCACCCTTAATATCGAGGAACAGACAAATCCCCAGGTTGCATGTGTGAAAAAGCCAGAGATGGATAAAAATAATTCAATGACAAATGCTGGAAAAACATACAAAGGGGCAGAAGCCAGACATTCGTGGGATTCCCTGACAGCTCGATCCACAAGGAAGGGTTGGACTGGAAAAAAACAGGGCCTCAGGTTCCTGCCAAGCTGTCTGAGGCCCTGTCCTTCCCAAATCCTTCCAAGCAGCAGCCAAGACTTTACAGTAACCCTTCCAGGTCTCACAAAGAAAGATGCACTGTGAGCCCGCTGAGTGCTCCTCACCTAGAAAATACCCCTCCCTGACGTGGTCCAACTCCATGCAAGGCTGGCCGTACTGGGGAGATGCCTCTGCTTATGGCTTCCAGCCCCTAACAACACCCCATGGGCCCAGAAAATGTATAGTTAAAAGGCAGCCTGAAAAATCCTACCCATCTCATTGGCTGAAGAAAAGCTTAGATACCCAGGTATCTGCATCTAGAAAGCAAAATTGATCCCTTTAAGAAAAAAGAGGTCACGAACACTTGGTACCTGCATCCTGGAGGCCCTATTGTCTAATTCCAAATCGGCCTCACTTAGAGGTACACCTCAGGCTTCTCAACATGTGACTGATTTTGGCCCTGACTACTTTCTCTTCTGGAGAATGGCCTGCAATTAATCTCACTTATTACCTCTGAAAAGTAACAGAGGAATGGCTGGCCAAGTCCAGCTCCAGAGCGTCTAGGGAACGGCAAGCTACAGGGCCAGGCCTCAGACTGTCTGGGCAAGTCGTGGGCTCTCTGCCTTCCTCTCCCACAACAAAGCTTGAACAGGGACTCCAGACAGACCAGAGGAACCAAGGGATTTGAGGAGCTGGGCTGAGCTCACACTGACCCAATGGGAGACAACAGCCCTGAGGCTGCGTTTGGGGGCGGGGGGGGGGTTTCAAAACAGCTGGGAAAGAACAAGGTTGTCTGGTGAAAACTTGTGTGATCCATAAAATTGAGAACAATAGCAACACTACAGGGAAATGAAAAATAACACTATTTGCAGAGTTCTCGTGAGTCACCAGTTTTCATTCCTGTGGCTACCAAGTCACTGAATCCTCCAATATGCAGATGAAAAGCACAGCCAGCGAAGGATTCTCTTTATGTCTTGTTACTGTTTACAGGACAGCCCCTGGTTTAGGGAATTATCAGAGCTTATCAGCACTGGAATCCACTGTTGCTATTGTAGATGAACTAGTAAGAGTACCTCTTATTTACTTAGCACCCACTTCCAGGGAGATCAAAGTGCCTTAAGGGCAATCTAAAAGCTCTCAAAACAGGCTGGTTTATCCGTAAGTATGCTTATCCAATAAAAAGATTAAATGAATGGTTTAGGGTCACTTAGTGTCAAAACCAGTCATAAAACTCAGATCCCTAAGCTATTAATCCCATATTCATTGAACTTAGTCACCCTTACTACTAAGAGAGGGGCAACAAGAGACTATCCACAAAACAGTGACTTACCAGGTAAAAATGGAAATTGGGGTATGGTACTGGGTAGAATGCCTGCTGGAGGTCTGGCTGTGGCCCAGGTCACAGCCAGCTCTGGAAGGACCCCGGAGAATTCACTTAGCACTGCTTTGGGGTGGACACCTCTGGGAATTCCACAAGCTGAGCTTCCAGGCTGTTCTGGCAACCAGAGGTTACCCGGGCTCAGACGAAGGTTTTCGGGGCTACCCTAGACTGAAATGGGACCTTACAACTGGCCCTTCGGCTTGAAGAGCAGGTGACGAGAGGGCTGCTTTGGGTACAATTAACCCAAAAGGGGAAAGGCCCAGGGACTGCAGGGGCCACTTTCTGGTGCTAAGGGCTCTGAAGTCAGTGGTGTAATGTGCTATTTTCCTGCTGCTCATAAGCACAGTCTGGCTAGGAGAAGGCCATTCATGGTGCTGGACTCTAGGTCTGGGCTCTGCCCTGGATGGATCCCCACACCTTTCTGGGTTTCTGCACTGCCAAACAGGTGCTACCAAAAGAAGTCTCTAAACCCAGTCATGATGCGGAGTTTTGACATTTTGTTTATAGTATGGAAAATGGCTACAGCCTTGTCATATAGGCAGATAATATCCCCAAGATTGCAGGGAACATGTTTTCCATAGAAACAAGGCTCTGATTGTAAAATGAAAATGGAATATTTGGAAATATTTTATATGGAAAATAAAGCTCTATGGTATAAACAGAATTCTTTTTTAAGACTTATGTTTTAGGAATGTGGTTATTCTGTAGACTGTAAATCACCAAACGACAACCTTCTGCGAAGAGAACTTCGTGGGAGGATGTCCCGTCTGAAACAGTCCTGCCTCTCAGTCTTCAACTCTTTGTAACTTTCAGTTAAGATGATTCTTTTCACCCTTGACCACGATTACTGGTATGAAAGACACTGTACTCAAGCATGATGTAATGTGCTTATGTTTATGTTGCTTCCTGGGCAGAGTCTCTGCTTCCCAAATTAGTTCCTTCAGTAATAATTCTAACACCAACAGATACTTCAACAGCAAACAGGTATTTCCTTCATGCCCAGGTCTTTGGCCGCCCCTTGCAACCACGAGGCAAGACAGCACGCTAAGAGGTGGCCTGCTGGCAGAGGCTGACAGAGCTGGCGCGGGGGTGGGGACTTGGAGGGACATCTGTGGAAGAGCTTCTTTATTCGGAAGGAACAGAATACTTCATCGTAACAGTCACAGTCCTCTCTAGCTCACTTCACTCAGGGACAGATGCAATTAAACCCATTTTGAATAGCCACTAATGCAAGATGTACTGGGAATCCATTTCTTACGTTTTTTTTTTAAATAGGGGACTTAAAATATGGATCAAGACTAGAATTCAATACAGTGGCTTCTTTTCTAATTCAGAAGTTGCTTACTTTGTGGCCAGAATCTATTTGGATTTTATCCTCTGCCACTTTGCTCAACTACATAAAGGACATTTCCTTCCCACTTCCCAAATGAGCATTGTCTAGGGAGACTGTTTTGAGTTTAATTACATAACCTAGATGAAAATATAAAAAACAAATATGTCCTTCAAAAAAAAAGAGTCCAAAGTTACTGAAATGCAAATGTAGTACAAGGTATAAACAAGAATGAGGAGACAAGGAGAAAATGTCAAAAGTCAAAACAAGAAAATGTAGACTACAGGCAAGGATTGAACACAGGACAAATTCTTCCTCTTTCACTCCGAAGTGAGCTTACTGAACTGTATAAGAAATTTCCTTTGCCTTTGATTTGCCCGCAAACTGTCTTATGAGTAAAACGAGGCCCTCTATTCAAGTGCCAGAGTACTAGGACAGACGGAAAGGTACCTGTCTCCCAGGCATCAGTGCAGGGAGTTCAAGGTGGGAAAGACTCTCTTCAGACCCAGGCTGTCTTTGTGACCCAAAACGATGACTCCACAACCCTTCACATACCTGCTTCCAGGAGGGGTGGAGTGGCTCTCAGGAGCTTGGGGGTCTGACTGTATTGACCATGTCGGGCCACTAGGACTGATGACAGGCCGAAGGGTGGGGGGGGTTGAAGCACTGCTTCTGTTTATGACGCCACTTGCCAAATTCAGGTTTGTTACCTAGAAATGAAGTGAGGGGAAATAACCTGATTTTACAGCGTTTTCAGAAAGTATCATTAAAAATAGATGGAGAAAATGAAGTCAAGTTCAGGAGATGCCGATTCATCTGAGCTAAAACAGTGGCTGTGACCAAGGCACCTATTAAAGGCTGGCTTCTGTGCACACCAAAGAGGAGAAGTGAGGGTGGCTGGTGTCAACAGAAGTCACCACATATGTATTCTGCCCCTACTGTGTGCAAAGTGCTGGACTGTGCCAGGTGCCATGAAATACAAAGATGAGTAACAAAGACAGCAAGGGTTTACTGCGTATTTACTCTGTGCCAGGCAAGGGTCTGAAACACTAGGCAAACTACTTAGCCTCTATGGCCCTGTTTCCTCATCTGCAACTTCTAAATGCGCAATACATTTTAGTTATACATAAGAAGAATGATTCTTATGACATATAAAGAACTCATTGATTTAGAAAAAAGATGCACAGGCAAAAGAAAAATGGGCACTGACCCTAATAAACAATTTACAAAAAAGGAATATAATTAGTCAACTAAATATTTAAAACTAGTCATTTCCACTGGCAATCAAAGAAATGTAAATTACAAGGTAATATTTTTTGTATACATGGATATACAATACTAAAAAATATACTACCTAATAATGGCAAGGCGTGATATTAGATATGTACTTATACTATTTATGTGACTATAAATTGGTAGAATCTTTCCAGAATTTGGCAATATATTATTAAAGGTATCAAAGTATTTGTACTACCATCTAACTTCTAGCAACTGTGCTAAAAACTAATTGCCCATGATTAACGATGGTGACTATTATAACTGCAGTTACTATTTAGCAGAACTTACAGTGTCTGAAGCTCTGTGTAAATGAGTACATTATATACATCCTGTTTTAAACTGTCATAATTCTGTTGGTAGGTACCATTATAATCCCCATTTACAAAGAAGGAAACTGAGGCCTAGGAACAAATGGCCAAACTAGAATCTGGACCATGGTCTTTGGAACTCCAAAGCCCATCTTCTTACTCATAACACTACACTGTGAACAGATTTTGAAAACAAGCATTGATTTTAATATTGGAAAATGGGAAGATCAAAATGGCTAGCAGTGTTGTTAAGTAAACTTTGCTCTGTCCATATGAGGGAGTATTATGTGTCCATTACAATTTTTCGAAGAATTCTTAATGATATAGAGCCATGCTGATATCTCAAGTTAAAGAAAAAAAAAATCACACTCTGAAACTACAGAAAGCAGATCCAAGTTTCCTTCAACACACGTACACACAGATATATAGTTGTGAAGGGCATGGATTACTTTTATAATCCAAAAGAGAAAATGTAAGTTATCATGAGAAATACAGATGTGACGTGAGTTAAAACCTGTGAGATGAGAATGAAGTCAGAAAAGAAAGGATGTTTGGAAAAACATTTCAAAATCAGTTGCACAGGGAGAGGATGCTGAAAAGAGGGAGGGCACAGGGCCGAATGGAGGGTGTTGGGTGTGAGACGCCAGAGCCAGGTGGCATAGGAGATGGACAATCCAGGAAAAGTATTCTCCTAGAAAAATGTCCTAAGAACCTAGTAATTTTGACATTTATAAATAGAAGAATTCTGCAGCGTTGTCGTGTTTTCTTCATCCGAAAATTCTTTTTTTTTTAAAGTTTATTTTATTTATTTATTTATTTATTTATTTGCGAGATTGAGAGAGCAAGCATGAGCGAGGTGGGGCGAGATGGGGGGAGGGGAAGAGAGAGAAGCAGGCCCCCCCGCTGAGCAGGAAGCCTGAGGCAGGGCTCCATCCCAGGACCACAGGATCATGACCTGAGCTGAAGGCAGACGCTTAACTGACTAAGCCACCCAGGTGCCCCTCATCTGAACATTCTGAAAGAAACATAAATCATTTTTGGCAACTGCACAGCGCCTCATCCCTAATTAGAGAACTCGGTATGTGAAAACAACCCAGGACTAGGTCTTCACACCAAAGGACTCAAATATATTTCTGGGGAAGAAAGCGTTTTCCATAGGTCAGGAATGATTCCTGGTGCTTGTGGAGGCTGGGATCCAGGACACTCGGGCTGTGCCCTCCAGTGTGGGCCTGTCTTTAGAAGAAGCCTCAGAAGCTAACCTTGGCTTATCATTTCTGACCCCCTTCTGCTGCTATCAGGGGAAGAAGACACATAGGGACTAGAGAAAGGGTGGGGAGGGAAGATACCGGAGCAGGTTATGGTAGTATTCTCTGGTCCCTGGAGTCTTTGAAGAGCCTTGCCTTCTTCCTGCACCTCGGGGGCAACAGAGGTCAGGTTGTCAGACAGTCAAACTGCTCCCTGTAGGACTGAATGCACTCCTGCCCCACAATGAGCCTTCTTCCTTCTTGCCCTGCTCCCTGGCCGTAAACATCAGGCCTTTCAAATTAGACATGAGCTTGCAGCTTATAAAAACACTACAGAGTAAGAAAGGTCTTTATGATAACTAACAGCTTCTCCAATTACTGCCTCCGTCAGTGTGCCAAAACCCTAATAAAAGAGGCTTATTAATAATTTATAGTGGAACAGCAATAAAATAAACAAAACGTACACACTTTACCATGTTTAGTATAAACTGTATGGTTTAGAGATTAGTGAATGGGAAGGAGAAGAAATATCAGATTTGTTGAATCTTCTCTCTTTTGGCAAGGCCACCCCTAATTTAAACATCATCATTTTCATCATAATAGCTAAGTTACTGAATGTTCACCGTGTGCCATGTATCAGATGTCCTTGCATTGTCTTGATGTGTATTATCTCATGTAATCCTGAGAAAGCCCTCTGAAGCAGGTTCTACTGTTACCCCCATTTTACAAAAGATGAAACTAAAATTAGATAACTCTAAGGGTAAGCAATTGCACAAAAATCACAATTGCACTAAAAATACCCACTAAGTGCAGGGCCAAGATGAGAACAGGGACCGTTCTCCTCCAAGTGCATGTGGTGTACTTTTCCCAAATGACATGGTTTAATATTTGAGGTCTTGCAGTACTAATGTCAAGCACTTATAAGTGAGGTTTTATATCTCACTCCTTACCCATTACTCATGGAAGCAGATACCGTTATACATGGAAGCAGATACTGTTATACTCCCTTTCAGAGATGGAGAAACTAAGGCTCAGAAAGTTTATAGTAATTAATTTGCTCAAGGTTACATAACAGTTGCAGAATTGGTACTCTTGTTTTAAAATCCATTTTCTAGGGACGCCTGGGTGGCTCAGTTGGTTAAGTGTCTGCCTTCTGCTCAGGTCATGATCCCAGGGTCCTGGGATTGAGCCCCGCATCGGGCTCCCTGCTCAGTGGGAAGCCTGCTTCTCCTTCTACCTGCTTCTCCCCCTGCTTGTGCTTTCTCTCTCTCTTTCCCTGACAAATATATAAAATCTTTAAAAAGAAAGAAAATCTATTTTCTAGTTTTAAAACTAGTAGGAAACAGACCCAGTTACCCTTAATTATCCTTAATTATTAGAGATTTTTGAAAATATAATTAGATACTCAAATTCTGACAACAGTGATTATACAGGAATTGATTATACCAAACTACACCAGCTTTTCCTTTTTTGCCTTAAATTTTATTCCCCATTTGTTAACAATATGCGTGTTGTTAATATCCTTCACCAGAGCATATTAAAGAAGTGGAAAAAAAACCAAAACCCATCCTCAATCAGTTCTGATTCTTAGCAGGTATAGTAAAAGGTGGCATGAACATGAAACTAATTTTAGATTCCCGGTGGGTTTCTTTTTTTTTTAAGATTTTATTTATTTACTTGACAGAGAGCTAGAGATAGCACAAGCAGGGGGAGTGGCAGGCAGAGGGAGAGGGAGAAGCAGACTCCCTGCTGAGCAGGGAGCCCAATGCGGGGCTCGATCCCAGGACTCTGGGATCATGACCTGAGCCGAAGGCAGACGCTTAACCGACTGAGCCACCCAGGCGCCCTGGTGGGTTGTTTTTACATGTAACATCAATTCCTTATTTCATGGATAAACCAAAAAATGGTGGCTATTGTGATTTCCTTCTACACAAAAGCAAAGCATCATTGTTAATTTATTTTGAAAATAGCAAAAGGGACCACTACTTAAATGAGAGATTATATAAAGAATAACAAAACTTTTAAAGCTTCTCATCTTTCTTTCCAAAGGATTCCTGCTAAAAATATAACCTCTCTCTTTAAATAATAACAACTGACCCTCTATTTTAAATATTCTATTCTTACTTCTGTGGTTTTATCTAGAAGACCCTCAGGACCTATGCCACAACTACCCCCACCCACCCAGCTCAGCCTTCCTAGGACATACATTGCTAGTAAATAATCAAACAATTCAGGGCTCACTTAGATACGACCTCAGAATCTTCTTTACACAGTCCTCCAGACAGCCAATGCCAATCAATCAGAAGTGACAAAGGAGATGAACCTATTTGCAACCCCTGTTCTAAAACAGGACAATCCAATAGGATGTATTGTGATGATGAAAACGTTCTAGAGTCTGTATCACCTAATACAGCAGCGAGAGCCACATGGCTGTGAAGGCTCTGAAGCCTCCACCAGATCTGGCTGAATCTTATGTGTACAGACTTCTGCCTTGCTAGAGTTTGGCCCAAGCAAATCATTTCTAGATTAAATGACTTAAGAAAGCCTCTGGTTCTTCCTTTCAGTTTCCCAGTTTTTCCCAGGATGGGCAGGAGTCGTCACTGAACACAAATGGACCCAAGCATCAACTGGGGCCCTAGAAGCACCTTGCGTTGACTAGGAAAGATCTAAGGGCAGGGTAAATCTCCCAGCATTGGGCCAGGCCTTAAACTACACAAGCCAGTTAGGCTTCACATCTGGAGGTTCCTCCTGAACAGGACAGAAGGATGATGAATACGGCTGTCACCAGGTTGCATCTGCTTCTCTGTCCATCCATATTTCTCCAGGTAAACAAAGTTTCATTAGATGAAGAGAAAGTAGAAAATGGCATATATATATATG